AAGCATCAGCACCTCCCTCCCCAGAGTCAGCCTGTAAAGCTCTTAGATAAAAGAAGCCATGCAAAATGCAACATTCACCATTTTTAGCTTTCCTGTAACATACAGTGTTTGAACTGAAAGGTCTTCATGTACCTCTGTTGCAAAACTGCTTGAAACTCCAATCTGTAAGGCTTTAAATCGGTAGTATATAACTGGTAAATTTTGAGTACCTAAGCAGTGTTTTCCTCTATTATAATTTCTTCTAGGAATATAGAAACCTTTGTTAAATAAGAAGTTGTCTAACATGGCTGGATTCAGGATTGACAGCTTTTTTTAAATTTCTGCCTTATCAGGGGCCATCAAACTTCCTCTTACCAAGGTTGCATGGATTTTACTTCAATAAAGAAAATCCAGAGAGGACTCCCAAGCTGTCTCATCAGAGTGAGATGATAAAAATTTGAAGTTCTTATCTACACAATGAAATGAACTGCAGCATACAGATCCCAAAACTACGAGGGACCTAAGCTGGTAAGTTCACATGATTCAGCTCAGCATCACACAGACTTTATCAGCCTGCGACAAGATGCAGTGTAATGGCAATGACCCAATGCTGTTAACAAGCTAGCAAGTACTGCATTCAGTAGCTCGAGTGAAGAGTCAGGTTAAAATATCCACACCTCCTCCAGTTCCTAGATGGACTGTATTTTATCTACTTAGCCACCCCCAAGAAGGGAGCTGACTCGCCCTGCACTTCCTAACTGAGCACACAAAGAGACTCACAAGGCTAACACCTTACCCTGGTGTAACACACTGTCTTAAGTGTCTTTCTGCCTTGCTGAGTTTTGTATTTGCAATTCTGTAGCCTGCCTTCCACTCGTAGTTCTGTAACACTTCACCTAAGCTGCCTGGGCACTGTTTTCCAGAACTTCCCTAGCTGCACCTTTCCCTTGCTGTTCAGTTCTCCCCATGCTGTTATTCTCAAGGCCCTTTTACTTCAAACACCAATATGTCAACAGCATTGTATCTATACTGTACTGCAGCCCTTCTCTGCCCTCTTCCTATCCCTTAGCAGTAGCTTTTGATGTACATTACAGTGCCCAATAACACACATGCACAAAGCTCTATAAGCGGCTAGCATTCAACATCTGCTCTCATGCAGCACTATCAGCATTGTAAGCAACAGGTAGTTTGAGCATGTCCTGATGAAAACCACAGAACTACCATGGGAAAGTGTTATGGGGAATACTTGCTGCATTGGAAAGAACACCTAGAGAAGGATGCTCATTTGGGACATTTCACCACTTGCTTTCCAAGCTGGTTACTGGTAAAACTTTCCCCCTTTTCCTTTTTTCCCCTCTTACTTGTTTGGTTTCCTTTCTTCTGTGAATGTAATTTTCACCTTCAGTATAAATTTATGCCATCAGCTGCAAATCTTGCAAATGGATCTTTGCACATTTGTATGTAAACCTGCTTTAACATCCTCTGTACAACACATTGTCCATATAAATATGCTCCACTGCATGTGAGAGTGTAGTCCTTCACATGCTTGGATCAACCTAAGCTGCCCTTAACCTCCAAACAGATATGCCCCCTCTCTGGTGAGGGCACAAGCTCTTGTGCTACTAGGTGAGAAGGTATCTAAGTACAGTTGTCAGTATAGGAGTAACTTTTCCTTTCCTCTCCCCCCAGAAAAGTGATTCATTTCCAAGCAGCTCACCTTCCAGTGCTGGACCCAGGAAATATGCAAGGACACAAAGGCTATGGACAAATGAAGGAAAAGGAATCACCGCCACTTCAACATAAATCATCTTAGCCTGACATGGAATCTAGCCGTCAATTTTGCATACAAATAGCAGTTCTCAGATCACATTTCCATGAGATACTGAAAAGGATCTTTTGTGCCACTTGAAACACTAGATTTAACTGGTCTAAAGATATGCCCTGGAATGAACTTAATACTTTTTATTTTTCCCTCAAGCCACTTGTCTTGCCAGAACAGAAGTTTCCCTAATGCAATCTCCTAATCTTAATGTGCATCTTCACCTACTTGAAAAGCACATTTTTTTTAAACAAATATCAGTAAAAGGAATTCAGACAAATTATAACAGACTAAGCTTCTCACTTACTTAACATATTTTGTATCTGTTTTAATAACAGAAAATAATCTACAGTCAGAAACTGACAAAAATGAAAAATACTTAGTACAGCATATTACCTACAGTAATTTTCAAATCTTGTTTTCAACAGTCTACATAGTCTGCATTTACTTGGGGATTCCAACAAGACTTCTATTCTACTACCCAACTACCAAAAATCTGCAAACTAATGCTAAATACAACATGGCAATAGAAGAAAATAAATACAGCATGTTATACCACATGAACATAATACAGTGCTACAGCATGTGCTTCCTATTTGGAACTTCACTCACTCTTGTCACAGATCCAGAATCTGCCTCCAGACTTCCCTCTGGTGAGGGTGAGTAGGTGCACAGTGATCCTGACTGGAAGAGGTGCAGGATCCTGCCCATGGAGGAGACAGTGACCCACGCTGAGCCGCATGGGCTGTGCTGAGTTGGCAGGGCCCATCCCCAGCACAGCTCATGGGACAGGATGGGGCTGTGCTGCACAAACCCCTCAGCCACAGGACAGACTTGTGGCAAGACATGGGCCCCTGGGCAGCTCCCCCTCAGTACCATCTACATGGTCTTGCCTTTATCTAACAGCACAGTGGGAACTTGTCACGTGACCATTGTTCCTGACTATTCCTGACAGGGTTATCTCCTTGTAAGAAAATCCTGTAAGAGTCCACACGACCAGGAAGGGAAGAATCTCTGCTGTGGCTGAGGTCTGCATAGGATGCTGCACGTGGGACACAGTCCTGTTTGATCCACACCACTCAGGGCTCTCAGCATCTGAAGGGCTGGAAGAGTATCTGCACTATTCCCTTCTTATACTGGCAGCTCTAATAAATGTCATTTTAAAGGATGTCTTACAGTATTTAACTGCCTTTCTTACTATGATCATAATGGCCAAGAACCTCCCAATCCAAAACAAGATGCAGAACAATTATTTGCAGCACAGGAGTTCCCAAACATCACTATAGGGCATCATTCTGTTTCCTCTTTACTCTGGTGCTTGTGTGTGAGCTGGTGTATGCACAGGGGGCATGTGTTTATGCAGATAGACAGGTATATCCCATTATTTACTACTTAGTTTTTGTTTTGTATCAATTTACTAGACAGTATTATTAGCCATCCTGCACGGGCAACTGCACTCAAATAAGCACAATGAAGCAGGCAGGCAAGCAGAGTTTCTGGCCTTCTGTCCTACCGAGTCTGGTTTTTTTTGTGATCAGAAAAATCAAAGGCCGTTGGCTACCTAATGCAACCAGAAAAATAAAGTTCATGTATCATTTTACTCTAACACGGAAACACACCTCTCATGAAACAAAGTTTCCAAAGAAGCAAACTTATAGATTGAAATAGACATACTAATAATTTTCTATGAAAAGAAATAAAATATTAAGAGTTAGTAACTACTGAGTGTTTTGAGGCTCTACTTCCACAAATATCTTTCCATAACTAAGTTCAAATTCCAGAATTCCCCATTTTATGCCTTTAGCTTGCATTTTTTCCAGTCTAGCATTTATATCTGTCAGTCAAAGTAGTCTCACTATAAAAGCAATTCAAATAAATGATTTCTAAATATTAACAAAACTCATTTCAAGAACCATAATTAGCTTTTTAAACCATGACATATGTAAGCAGAGACTCAGGTCAGCAGTGACTAGAAATATAACACAAGTGATACAATTATCAGGCAGTGTTCTGTAGAGTAATGAAAGGGTTTTCTTCCAGGTTATATTATTCTTCCTGGTTATTATATATTCCAGAATAATACAGTTCTAGGTATTGCTGCTATAAAAAAAACCCACAACCAACTAACTAAACAAAAAAACCCCACCAACAACCAAAAAAAAAGAAAAAAAGAAAAAAAACCAACAACAAACAAAACAACCCAGAGTGAAATGTTAAAACCCTACACTAATCAAGTTATCATGATTTAAAAATCTGGGGAAAAGCAAAATAGAATTAAGTCAACTGAAATATTTTCCTTAGCCAAATCTGAAACGCTGCTTTTTCATTTTAAACTCCTTAATTTTTAAAGATTGCTGTAGATTCAATTTCTAATAAAAGAGTAATTTTGAACCAAACCAAATCAGAGTTTATAACCGCATTCTTTTTGATAATTATGAGATGCATAAAAATGAACAGGAAATTCATTAAGCAAAGCTTTATAAGAAAGGCACCATTCTTCACAGATTAAACATGATTAGAACATTCTGATTTGTATTGTTTCGCTTTCTCTTATTTTACAGATCATACTTGGTCTCACTTTTGGAGCTCCAAAACACCTCATCCAATACAGTTCTTCTGTGGATAAGTAAGGAAAAATGGCAAAAAAACCTATCTCAGAGAAAGAAGTTCTTCAGATGCAAATTAACATAGCTCTGATTATGCGTTTCCAAACTGCGAAATACAGGATTTTTCCTAATCAAACAGTGAGGACGAAGGAAATGAGATCAAGAAAAGCAGTCAAAAACCCAGAAACCTGAGAACAGTTTCAAGCCAATTTTCAAAATGCATCTCTTCCAATTTTATATCCAATTTGTAAGAAAAGAGTGCGTCATTTTTAATGATACAAATTCTAATCACATGACACCACTGCAAAGGAAAGTAAAATGCTCTGTCCTTTCACTGTCATGGCTGTAGAATGTAATTCCAGTATGCATATTAAACAAATAAAAACACTGGGCTTTACATGTCTTTTATTCCTTGTGACGAACTTAGGGCACCCATCTTCTTTTAGGAGATGATTATGTGTGTTTCTAAATAAGACTGCAGAGACCCTCCTCAGCAAAATCTTAATTTATTTTCACTCTGAAATAACCTAGAAAGTTCATGAATATTTAGAACATTATGATAAAAAAAAGAATCAAATCATAGATAAAGTACAAACCTCTGATTGTACATGCCCCGGAAATTATAATTTGCTCTGTAATTGGGAATTGGCTTTGGATCCAATGGCCTGTAGATGGCAGGCTCTCCTCTTTTCATCGCCAGACCATTCAGCTCCACAGTTGGAGTTATACTGCCTGCAAAAACCAAACAATTTAAGTAAGGCACTTAAACCAGAAATATTGAAAAACTCAAGAGCAGGACTGAGATAATCTGTAAAGTGATAGCTACATTATAATTTTTTACTCTTAATTAAAAAGAAGTAACAAAAAAGACATTTCAATTTCCCTAAAAGATGGGAATATAGATCCCAATTCAATCACAAGCAACAAAAAAGAACAATTAGACATCTCAGTGCATTCTCTATGCAGTTCAGGTGGATTAATCTTCACATATGAATGAGAAAGTCAGTGTAACAACCAAGCTGGTTATTCACTTTTCCAAAGTACTTATAATACATTATGACACTTTCTGAAAGAATTATAAAATAAAAGGATAATGTCTCTTTCTGCTGAATACCATTAAATAAAACCACAAATAGGGCAAAGAGTCATTGAAACAAGCACAATGTAAAATGCAGTCATTCAGGAATCTTACAAGTTAGAAAAAACGTGTTATTTGCAAGACTTGAAAACTTAAAACTACACCTAAAAACTAAAAATCTAATAGGAATGATCTAACAGACTGAAACACAGCTACTGGAAATCAGTGCAACTACAGCCATCTACTGGTGACAGAATACAAAAATAGAAGGCAGCCAGTACTCGCCCACTGCATCGTTTCAAAAATATCAAATAAAAAGCTACACTCTACTTCTACTACTTTTTTCTTTTTTTTTTTTAAATACAAAGTTCAGCTACAGTAATCCCTAATTGCACTGTTGTAAAAAAATCCTAAATGAGCTAAACGTGCATTCCAACAAAAAGGAGTTAATATTTCTGAAAATATTTTCATAAGGGATTCAAATAAATCTACCCTTAAAACAGCTATGACTAATTTTCCACTCTGCCATTGAGGCTTTATATGCCAAATGATGAAAATGTTTATGCAATACTTATTCAAAAACTTCTATCGACAACAATTCTTATATTTTCCAAAGCAAGAAATTACTATAAATTCAACTTAATAATAAAAATGCAAAACGTCATTCTGATGAGAAGATAGCTGTGCATATACAATGCACCTTTCTTGGAGCAAAACTACAGTGCTAAATGACACAATTTTTTAATGAATTCTCTTAAAGCCTGTTTCTCTTATTATCAGATTTTCCCTTTAAGAATATCCTCAAAGCTAAAAGAACTCTAGAAGATGAATAATACTCTGCGATGTCAAGAATCAAACTCAGGATCCCTTTTCATAGATGTCTGAGCCTCCTGCTTTCTAAACAGCTGAAGTCACAGTGATTGTGAAGGACACAGGGCAAAACCACTGTCTTGGGCCTGAAGAAACAGTGTACTAATCTCCAAAGGAGCAAGAGAATACTACCACATCACTCTAAAACAATCCTTCATAGCTAATACTCAGGATAATACTCACAAGTTCTAAAGGAAACTTACTCCTACTTTTTTTTCCATCATGGAGAAGATTAACTGCAAAATTACTCAACTTTAAGAAAGTGATTGAAGAAAACTGTTTTTAAAATGGGGGGAAGGGCAGAGGGAAATAAAAAGGGAAGAAGGGAGTAGAGGAAAAAGCAGAGAGGAAGGGAGCGTAAAAAACAAACAAACAAAAGAGGAAACATGACGTTTTTCCCCTCACCATTTGCTTTCTATTAGTCTGAAATAAAAGTTATTAATATTTTTGATTTATTTTATCAAACAAGACAGAACAGATACTGAACATGTAGATGAGATGTGTACCTAGAAAGGTTTTATATGCATTGAAGGTAACTCACAGGTAACAACTCAACCAGTATATATTTTTTCTATTATTGAAACAGTTTCTAATGCTGTCTGTGAGCTTTTTGAAAGAACAGGTTGCTATGAAGGAAAACTCACAATGCAGGAAAATACATGTCAACGTTCTCATGCCAAATCCCAGCCTTTTGTTTAGACCACAGATGCAACTTTGCAGGATTGGACTGGATAAAATTTCCAATTTCATTGGAAAATTAGCTAAAATAACTCCTTGGGAAATATGTTTTACTATGGTAATAACAGCCAATTCAGTCTCGTTTTCTGTTTACTGTTGATCATACACAATCACTCCGTATACATCTGAGCATTATCTAAATAATATACTCCCCTACAGTTCAACTATTTTAGGCATGCACATTAAAAATTCTCCTATGAAAACTCACTAGAAATTCTGTATAATCCTATCATACCTCTAAGATGGCAATGTTGATTCTCATCCACCAAATTTAAATACATTGTTAAAATTACTTATTAATGGTATAATATCCCAATACTTTAAGAAGATTTAACACACAGAGGAAATTGTCATACCTGGATTATTGTTTACGTTATTTTTGGGTGGTCTAGGCGTTGGTTTGGGAAGGGTAGTTTCATTCAGTGCTTTGCTAGCAGCAGCATGTTGGGCCTTTTTAATACTGCTTCCTTCAGCTTCCCATGTCTGTTCTCCAAGAGTCAGCTGCACTGTGAACATCTTCAAAGACAAAGAACAGGTAAACACTGGCAAGATTATCAGTGTGGATTAGACCAACCTGTATAAAAACTTCCAGGGCTCAAGAGAAACCATGCTCTCTTTTCATTGGATTCAACTCCCAGATAATGCATCTGATTCTTCCAAAGATCAGTGAGACCTTATCAGTGGGCAACATTTGGCCTTTCAAATTACAAAGTTAAATAGCATAATGCTAATGTCAGCTGTCAAAGAACAAAATAATATTTAAACCAAGTAATAATAACTGCAAACTCATCCTCTGCTCTTGGAAGACTGTATACAGGTCAGCTTAGAGCACATTTTTTCATACATTTGAAGGTGTTTTGTCACTTTACCTGTAGAAAATAGGTACTAAACATGCCACTGAGGAAAAAAAAAAGTAATTTTGTAATAATTATGAATGGGTATAAATGATTGCACACTCCTCAAGGCAGCAGAAAATTTGGGCCAAATAGTGTTACACAGTGAAAGAATTTCTCACATGACCTGATTTCTAAAAATAATGCATATTGTTAGGGCAAGAGTCACAACTCAAATACATTCAAAAAAATAGAGTAACAAAGAAAATAAATATTATCTTTTTTTAATGGAACTGCAGTTCTTAATGTAAAATCAATAGTGAGGACAGGAACCGGAAACATCAAGAGTTCAGATATTGACTAACAGATAAAAAACATATATTTCAAAATCTGGGATAGAGGATTATTTCAAATAGTACCTATGCTGTGCAAATTGTGCAGATAAAACTCAATGCATATTTAAGATATTAAATAGAATCGGTCTTCTGTATTATACATACATGTTTTGTCTAAATTTGAACATCTAAGAACAAGAGGAGAAAGGCTAAGAACTCAATATATTTGCCATATAAATTCCCTAGATATAAGACAGAACTTAATAGTCAGATAAACACAGTAAACTAAGATACACTCACCTCAGAAAACAGACCAACTTACTTGAGGCAACATAAAAAAGCTACATATTAGTGTGAGCAGGATATAAAGTAAAATTTTCATTTTGACAGCTCTATGATTTTTTAATTATTTAAACTTGCTAGATCCAGGACTAGGTACTTAGAGATGGACATGGTGAGCAGCCTTTACATGTGTCATTGCATATATTTTCATTTAGCATGTACTTATAAACAAGCATTTGAACTCAAGTATGTCTGTGCCTTCCACCTTAGCCCTATGCACATTCAAACTGAATGCTATAAACACATATTTGTGTCCTAATTACAGGTTTGAGTTTTGGCTACTGTAATTTTCAGAAGAATAGTGCCAGTCCCTGTACCACAGTTCCTACTGCCATGTTCTTTTTTCCACGGCAGTCATGACAATTTCCTCACAGACAAGGAGAAAGAGAAAAATAGTCTCTTAATTTTGCAATCTGCCAAATCCTACCCCCACTTGAAAGCTAAACTGGGTATTAGAGCTAAATACCCATAATTATATTAATTACCTACAAACATACATCCTTATTACTAAAAGAACTGAAACTTGATTTCTGGATCTGGAGTTTACGTATTTTATATTTTCCAGGAAAGTACCAGTGTAGTATTTTTATAGAAGGAGAATAATCTCAAATTTAAATGATAATATGATTAATAACTCTCCTCTTAGCGCTTAGAGTAAAAAACAGGAATTCGAGATAATAAAGGGCTTATTCAATAAACTTCTGCAGTCAACTCTAACCTTCTCACTTAGACCATCTGTCAAAAAAAACTCCTGCAAAAACCCACATATAGTAGTAGGTTTCATCCTTTAATTATAGGAATAAAACTGCCTAAACCCAAACTCTGGAGCAGCCAATGAAAACTCTCAAACCCTGCAAGACCAGAGCTAACACTTCTGCTATTGACTGAGAGACATTTCTTACCAGTTCTCTGAGGAATTTTCTATTCCTTTCACCAAACCTAATGTATCTGATGTCTAGAAAGCAGAAATGCAAAGGCCACTATGGTTGTGCTTGTTTTCACTCTGCTGTGTTTGCAAGGTCAATCTCTCTTAGCTCTGGCAATTCTTTCCTCCTCACTTCTATGTAAAATTCTCTCCTCTTTCCCAGCCTTTTGAAGTGCTACATCCCTTACCCCTTTCCCTCTTCTCTGCACCACCATCCACTTTCTTTTGCCACTGTTTCTTTTAAATTTGTGTCCTGAAATAACACTAACATAGAAGGACAGAAGACATGACTAATCTGACTAACATATTCAAAAACATTTATGCTAAAAAAGACTTTCTGATTTTTCTTATGATGAAGAATCCACCTGGAGGGCAGACTCCTAGAAACCCTAATTGCACTGTCACTACATGCCACTTCTCTCCCAACTCCACTGTTTCTAGTTTCCCATTTCACACCAATTGTCAAAACTTACTTCCCAGAGACAACTAGAAAAAAGGATATAAAAATTTACTAGCATTTGTGGTCACAACACAGACAGCTGTCTTGTAGAGCGTGTCTCAGAAAACCGTGAAAACCACTAGTGGACAGGAACAGAGTTTGTGTAGGAGGAAAACAATGTGAGAAGCTCCTTAAATGGCAAAGAGCAGTAGCAGCATTATATCCTCCAGGTCATGCTTTCCAGGACCAATTCAGCTCTGTTTCACATATTTGGTCAGGTATATCATCATATACTAGCAAGACATTATAATAAGCTGCTAATAGTCATACTAAATTTTCTGCTTTTCATAGGTCAAAGGCTGCATAGTCTTATAATCACCTTTGTTCTTTTGTCTCTTGCTGCAGAGACCAAAATCAGACAATATTCTTCTGAGTCTACAGAGTACATATCTGCATTTTTTTGACCACTATGAGTACAACTAAAAATAATGCGGTAAACTGAAAAACTGAAAAATTAAGAAATCCTTTGAAAATCTGGCTTTCAAAAATGCAGCTAATGCAGACTCAAGTAATTTAAATTATATTAGTGCCTCTAAAAGTAGTAACAAATATAAAATCATTAAAGTTGGAAAAGACCTCTTAGATCATCAAGTCCACTCTTTGACTGAACACTATCATACCAACTAAACCATAGCACTAAGTGCTGTGTCCAGTCGTTTCTTGAAAACTTCTGGGGATGGTGAATCTACCACTTCCCTGAGCAGCCCACTCCAATGCTTAACCACTCTCTCAGTGAAAAAAATTCTTCATTATGTCCAACTTGAACCTCCCCTGGCACAGCTTGAAGCTATGTCCTCTTGTCCTGTCGCCAGTTGCCTGGGAGAAGAGGCCTCCCGCCTCACATATGAACTATTTCTTGTCCTCATAAAATTTTAAGTATAACATGAATGTAATATAACTTAAATTTCTTTACTGCTGAGAAACGTAAACAGCCAAAACCACACCTTTTTGTACAACCAAAGCACTTCTTATTTCACAAAAAATAAATACACAACACAATAGCAAAAAATTACACAAAGCCCAACAGATTTAACGTGCCACAACCTAAAACCAACCAACCAAAGTACCCTGTGGTGCCAAACGTCTTCAGGAAGAGAAAGAGCACTTAAATTTCCATTTAAAACACAGGATCCTAGAAGTTTTCTGATTCTCAGTGGCCTCACACCTGCTGACATCATTTCCACCGGCATAACAGATTCGGGAATGCCAGCCAGACCAGGTCAGTGATTTGCATGAACTCTGCACTCACTGACAACACAATATGCAACTCAGAAACAAGGGACAATGGCAGAGAGCTAGCCCATGATGAGCTGAAACTGTTACTAATCTGCAGTGTGACCCCACTGTCTTTTGCCACTCTAGAAATACTAGGTAAATAGCAGCTACTAATTATGCCAGCGTCTTTCTTGGAGTTTTTCAGGATTTTTTCTCCTCCCCCAGTTTGCTCCTACCCAGGGAGGAAATTCAAAATTATATTAGGAAATTTTATGTCATGAGAATATTCCTCTGTGTTCCTCATCACCTGAAACCAACCCAATTTGTACTTATTAAGTTGGATATTCAAATTGATATGAGAACTGACCAGAATTTGCTGTCAGTTCACCGGAAACTTTAATCCTATAACCATATTAGGAGTCTTAATATCACCATATGTCTTAAAGTTGCATAATAATAAAGTTTGTGCTATATAACGCAAGATCCAAAGATTGAGTAACAACTTTATAGACACAGAACTGTGTCAATAAGCATGTCACAAACTACCTTTGTCATCATCTGCACTACCATGAAACAAGTGGTAGTTTGTTTCTAGTAGCTAGTTACCAAAGGCATGCTGACTGGGGAGCAAGATTCATCCAGCCTAAAAAGTAAATGCTCCATAAAGATTAAGAAAGGGCGGTGATACCCTGAAAAGACTTTCACAAGGTCTTTATAAACACCAACAAATACAAACTCAAAGTAAGGTACAAAATGATCTACAGGACTTAAACAGAAATACAGGCATACTTCCTAAAAGTGTAAAAAAAACCAAAACAAAACAAAAAGAACTGTAAGAAACTCCTTACACTAGAAATGTAGCTGGGTGTGACAAGCACACTTGTCCAAACCATGACATTATCTGTTCAGCATTTAAGGTACGGCTCATCACCTGGAACTGTGACCTTACCTTGGCATGAGCAGGCCCTCTTTCATTCAGAAGCTTATACTGGGGTTGAATTCTATTGAAACGGGCTAACTCATTTACCAGACACATTGGAGTTTTCTCTTTGGGGTTTGCCATGTTATCTTGGAGAGGAGCTGTAAATAAAGAGTCTGTAAAGTTTTTGTGGAGAAATGTATTCTTCACAACTTCGCAAAGCTTTGCAAAAGCAGCATGCTTAGAAAAGAAAATACTTTGGCTAAAATACAATTTTTGTACATATGCTAAATATAATGTTTAAATACCATTTATATATTAATCATATGAGAATATGATTATGATTTTACAATAAAAATTTTGAATACATGCAATTAAAAAACCCCAACAACTATTTATTTCCAAAATGTCCCTATGACAGATGACAGTGTAGGGGAAATTATACATATTCTACATCTACTACATCACCAAAGTTTACTGTCAGCAGTATACTGGTTCCTGGAATTAAGTACTCTTCCAGAATGGTTTCTCAACACTTTGAAGCAGTAGTGGATAGTGTAAGAGTTATGAGACAAATATAGTTGATGAAACTCTGTGGCCCCCACTTGCTTCCGCCTGCTTCTTCCCAGGGTTTTAGACTTTTCTCACAAAAATGAAGTCAGTCTCAGAGCACTCCCAAAGAACACTTCTCCTCTCCCTTTAAGGATTTCATTCTGCTTTTTTTAGACCATTTAACTTTCTGCAATTTTTTTTCATTTGGTTTGTATTTATCCCTAACACACACTGTCATTTCTTGTTTAGATTTTTAGAACAACATTTCTGCATTTTATACCCAGTTCAGCATAGGAACTGCAGCATTTATTAGGCTACAAAGGAAACACCAAATACTGCCAAGCAGTCAGAAGACATTCTGTTCTGGGGAAGAGAAATAAACTTGGAGACCTTCCTGCAACACTAAAACTTCTCTATAAAGAATACACTCAGAATTTGACAAAATAGACATGCTCTTTTCTGAGATTTTGTATCATTGATCAACACTTCACTGTAAGTCTGAGCTCAGTTAAAAAAACTAACAGTTTATTTAGCCAAAATATTTTTCTATGGGTGTTTGGGTTTTTTTTAATTTTAATCCCCTTAAGGACCTAATTATTTATCTTTTTAAATTAAAAAGTCATCAAAAATTCATTTGACCACTGAAGAAAATATACCTGGACCAACTTACCTGGTGAGTTGTTAGAAGGTGCGGGATCCACAAGGCTGGCAGTAGGACTGCTACAGCTGGCAGCTGATTCCGAAATGGATCCATTCATTGAGGATGGCAGACTCAGTGTATTTGTAGTTGTAACTGGCAGGGGTAGCACCATAGGGGACATGGTGGGTCCAGACAGGTTTGCTGTAGTCTGCATCTTAACTTGTGCCATTGCCTGTCACTGCAATAAACAAATTATTATCAGCAGGGCACTTTGCATTTTGAATGTCAAATTACTGTAGTGATACTAGCAACACTTCTTTTTTGCTCCTGGATCTGGGTCACAAAACTGTCCACAAAAGTCATGCCTCTGCAAACATTAATTCCAAATGGATGCACAGAGAAACAGAGCTCAGAGCCAAAGAACATCACTGGAGAAGAACCCATACAGCCTGGCTCTAGGTTCTGTTGCTTAACAATGGGGTGACCCTGCCTGAAATACAGCAGGAAGAATGATTATTCTAGAATAAAATCCCATATAATCATTCTGCAGATGAGATTACACCTGCCAATTTCTTCAAAAGAGAAGTTTGTTGTCATTGCAACAAAATTTCATAGCAATCTTTTTCACTGTTTTTTCAGTAAAGCGCATATAAAATATCAAATAAGGCCACAAGAGAAAATCACTATTTTTTTCTGCCTTTTATCAAACTAGAAGAGAGAAAAAAATATAAGAAGAAAATGCAAAGAAATGAAAAAAACCACCAAAGATGCGAGTTCTGACAAAAATAACTGCTTATTCAGTCAACAGGTGGAGTACTTTAATCCGTGTATAAATTACTAGCACAGGTGTCAGGACTTCCTAAACTAGCCTTCAACCCAATGCCTAAAGCATTTACCTGGAATATGCCAGGTACTAATTGTGTCTTTTCATCTTCTCAAATTAGTATCCTTATTGCCAATACCTGTTCTCAGGTTATGTCTACACACATAAACAACTCAGGGTCAGGGTGAGTAGTATGCTCCTTCATACTACTCACTGAGAGTATGCCCCTAGGCAAAATTTTTGCCACTGGGTAAAAACTCCTGTTGCAAAAACCATACAGGAGCAGTTCAGAGGTGAGCAGGCATCCCAGACAATCCACTCAAATAAACAAGGAACCAGTCATTCTCACTCATCCAGGCAAAAGTCTTGGGCTTCTCCTCTTGGCATAAGGAGCAGGATGATATATTTTATTCAGTAGCATGGACACAGACTGTATTATTTAGGGTTCATACACAAGAGATGATCTGCACAGAGTGGATAAAGAGACAAAACCCATGACAGCTGACTAGTGGCCCCTGGGGAACTGGGACCTCTCCCAGCAGCAGCTCTGATCCCACTGGCTGAGGCATAGGAGGAAAGGAGCCCAGCTCTCCTCCATCACAGGCAGCCTCCTTACCACTAAGCTCTTTGCCACTTCTGCTGGGCTAATTCTCTCTTCTTAAGCAAAAATCCCATTCAACACCTAAAAAACTTTTTAACTAAGGACTTATTGAAGTGAGCACGACTACAGACAAAATTTTGATTACAATCAGTATTTTTGCCTCTCCCACACTGCATCCATTAAAAAGTATCCAAAGTATCTTTACTCAGAGGGACAGTATTTCTGCATAAAGATCCCAAATCACTCATTACACTACAGAGTAAAAGTCCTTTAGCACAGTTGCACTCGTATAATGAAAATAATAAATCCTATTACTGTGACTCTGTGCTTTGGAGAAGAGGTTCAGACTGGAATGCCATTTTTATTACTGAGAAAAGATAGACAACTGATTTCATTCTCTGAAAAAGCAAAAGTAAAAAAAAAAAAATGAAGTTGAGGTGCAATCACTTGCTCTTTGCATAAGTATCTTCAGTAAAATATTAATAGCCACAGATTTTAAAAATACATATGCAGTTAGCTGAGATATATTCAAATACTTTATGAGTTCAAAAATATGGACTAAATTCTTACTGTAAAAAACCTACTGTTACTTCACAGCAAATGCAATGTAATACAGCAATATTGTTAGAAAGGCCTAACTTAAAGACTGAGAAGGTGTATAACTACATAATTTTTTGGTATACTGTGTGTTTAATTCTGATTTTAAAATACATTAATATAGATTAGAATAGATTGAAAAAGTTTCTTAATTGTAAACACCAAAACTAGCGATGGCAAAAATCAGACCATACATCTTAAACATATTTAAAATGAAACCAACATAATAAGAAATATCATCACAATAACTGAAGTTTAAGAAACTCACAGTATTTGCAGCATTTTAGCTTATAAACATGAGTATGAGAAAGGCATCACTCAAATAGTTCTGTATGAGATACTACTGAACACCTAGTCTTGGGCCCTGCCAATTGTGAATTATCCTTTCAGCTTCCAGTATTTTGAAAGTTTATTCTTCAAGAAATTAGAACTTATTAATAATAAAATAAAATACTATATTCTATAGTATTGATGTCCTAAAGGGAGAAATTGTAGGATGGATACTATACTATTAAGGACAAAAAAGAAAAATCAGTTTGAGAATAGTATCAAGGAACAGTAAGAATGAACAAGATAAAGTTTGAGAAAAAAGACACCCTTTGTCCTACAGTAAAGTACATAGAAAATTCAACTGTGAAATCAGAATAAAATCCTAAGATATTGGGTGCTGGGCATTTCTTATATATCTAAAGCAGCAAAACTTCTATGAGAAACTATAATTATTTCATAAATTATTCTGTATAAGCAAAGACGCTCTGGCATTAATGTATAATATAACTGTAGGGAATAACTCTTAAGTGGATGAGCTATGGAGACAATAAACTTGTAATCAGTCAAAAATCCCACTAGTAGAGTCAACAGAGGGAATGCAGTTGACATAGTGATGTCATGCCATTTTCTCACTATCAAGCAACTAATCTCTGATGTCATGACAAAAGGGGACAAAACCTATATGTCCCATCTTCTCCTCACATTTTCTTATCTACATACACTAGTGCTGTACTGTTTTATAAACAGTGAGGCAAAACCACTATGGGGTCTTCCAGCCACAAGCACAGAGTACACGATAAAATATGCTGCTACATAATAAAATGTAGGACCTGGGAGAGAGAGAGATTTCACTAAGCTGGTCAGAGATGAAATGCAGTTATATAATCAAAATATTTTTAAATCTTCTATGCAGATATTTTTGAAAAATCTGGCATACACAAAAGGGATAGTTCATTTATTATACTATGAATACAATTCAAAAATCCTCTACACCTCACTTCAGATGGTTAACCCAATGCAAATCTCAGAAACTGCTACCTCTCAAGTGTCTCCAGAGGAGCTTCCCTTGATGCCTGGCAGTGGTTACAGACATTTGCACCTCTTGGAGAAAGCTGGACTGCACAGCCATGCCTGCCAGCTTTGTGTCTTCATTGCCAGCTTCCATGTCAAATCACCACAGCATGATATTTCTTAAAGTCTTAATCACATACATGTCTACCCCAAGTCTGCAAGTCAAAGTGCTGTCATTTTTGTAAAGCTATACTCCAGGGCTTATGGTGCCTTACAAGATGCTGCAATGGTTTTGCCTCTTAGTCTAACCTACTCAGCTGCAACAGAAATACTACAGCACACATGAAAAGGGATGCAAATATACCAGAATTGCATTTTACTTCACTTCTGCTTTTGAAAGCACTTTGTACATAGGCAGCTACACAGGTTTCATTAAACAGTTCACAGATCTCAGAATATTCTGAGTTGGAAGGGGCCCACATGGATCATCGAGTCTAACTCTTAAGTAAATGGTCCTTATGGGGATTGAACCAACAACCTTGTTATTATAAGCAGCATGCACTAACCAACTGAGCTAATCTCAGGGTCGGATGGTATTAACTTTCCAATTAAGTATGTACAAGCTGCGAATTTTCCTCCCACACTAAAAATGACCCAACCAAAATAAACTCATATTAAAACAACAAAACAAAACTGCCTCACATTTTGAAGTGAAAATATTGCTGTCAAATATTCCCAGTGGAGTGGTGAATGGGAGTTACGGTCAGTTCATCGCAGGTTCTCTGACACTCCATCCTCCTCAGGGGAAGGCTCCTCATATTCTTCCCCTGCTCCAGAGTGGGGTCCCTTTTACAGGAGACAGTCCTTCACGAACTTCTTCAACATGAGTCCTTCCCACAGGATGCAGTTCTTCATGAACTGCTCCAGAGTGGACCCCTTCCACAGGGTGCCATCCTTCAGGAACAGGCTTGTGTATGGGCCTCCCACAGGGTCTCAAGACCTACTAACAAACCTGCTCCAGTGTGGGCTTCTCTCTCCATGGGGACACAGGTCCTGTCCGGAGCCTGCTCCAGCATGGGCTTTCCACAGTGCTACAGCCTCCTTTGGGCATCCACCTGCTCCAGTGTGGGGTCCTTCATGAGCTGCAGGTGCCTCTCCGTTCCACCATGGACCTCCATGGGCTGCAGGGGCACAGCTGCCTCACCATGGTGTGCACCACGGGCTGCAGGGAAATCTCAGCTCGGTGCCTGGAGCACCTCCTGCCTCTCCTTCTCCACTGACCTTGGTGTCTGCAGAGTTGTTTCTCTCACATATTCTCACTCCTTTCTTCTCTGACTGCTGTTTCTGTTGTGCAGCAGCTTTTCCCCCTACTTAAATCTGTTATCCCAGAGGTGCTACCACCTACACTGATGGGCTCAGTCTTGTCAGCAACAGGTCCATCTTGGAGCCAACTGGCATTGGCTCCTCCGTACATAAGTGAAACTTCTGCCAAATTCTCACAGAAGCCACTCCTGTTGCTCCCCTGGTAGCAAAACCTGGCCATGCAAACCCAGTACAAACACTAAGTCAGAAATGCAGGATATTCTTTACTACTGTGAATACACTTGTATCATGTAAAAAAGCACCACACAACATAAAGAAATTGTTATAGTTTTTCTGAATATTATTATTTATTGTATTTTTCTGGAATGTTAATCACTTAGATCTTAAGATATAAAATATGAATTAAATGCTCAGGTGAAATGATTCTTAGACTACGTCACAATAATTGCATAAACAAGGACAGATAAAGTAGATAAAACACCACAGAAGGCAGAAAACATGGACAATGACTTTTCAAACCAAACACACTTTTACAATGTGGAAAAATTGAAAAAGCAATATTAGAAAGACAAGTTGTTTTATGAACAACCAACAGATAGAGAACGGTCAAAAC